CCTCTTCAGTATAAACTCCATTAGCCTCTTGAAAGTGGCAGGTGCATTGCACAGGCTAAATAGCATGATACAAAACTTCTACAAGCTATTTTGAACTAAAAGCAGTCTAAGATCTGCTCTCATAATTGAGCTCAACTTGCTAACATCCAGATATCAGTTGTGAAATGCTGGACACCAATGGGAATCTTCCCATGCATCCAGACATTCATCTATTCATGGTGTGTGGGAGGACACTGACATGAATTCCGTCATTCATCCATCTAATATTAGCTCTGAATCTTGGTATGGCTTCTTTCTGTAAATTACTACTGGAGATGACCAAGCACTCTCCAAAGATTATATAATCCTGTCCATTAACGTCCAGTGTATCTCAGCACTGGCTATGTCCCTAGTAGTCCAGGGAAGCTGGTGTGACAGTTGCTTGATCAGATGTGTATCATCTATATCTATAGGGTGGTGAGCTATTATTGTTCAACTCAATTGGCCACTTAGTCCCACAAATATATTGGCATGTTCAACTAACAAATTGAAGAGTTGCTTTCACTGCATTGGGTCTAGATTCTTTGCACAGTCTTCACCCAATGATCTCAGATGTGTTGGCAGCCACATATTCACTTTCAGACATGGTACGATGGGCACAACCCTAGTATCCCTTCTTTACTTTCATTTTGCATAACCATACTGATGACCATTTTAGTTTAAAGTTGGTTGGTTAATTGCCCATAATTACAAAACAACACCAGTACTTTGTCCCTCCTTGTACAGATAATTACGTGATATAATACTGCTTGCTCTCTGGACAGGAAACAGGTTATTTCATGCATGATCTCTATAACCATATTACATGGCACCAATGCACATGTATATATATATAGAGGTACTGTAATTCCTTCTGCTACATATAACCCACTGTTCCTAAACTTGATCTGGCCAGCAACAGATAATACACACATTAAAAGAAAACTGTACAATAACCCAGGTTTAACTTCTGGTCATGGCACCAAAATATTTCCTTTCTACCTACTTTGTGGGATTTTTAGGTAAACTTATTTCATGAAAGAGTAAATTAGGTAGGCCCACTATATAACAGGATGCTTGACAAGATAAGTTGAAAAGTAACACTGAATTCTGCTAAAACTAACATAATGTTTGCTAAGAAATAAATGTACTACATATAAAGTGTGATACACATTGAAAACAGTTTTTATTCAAACAGAAAATCAATGTATGTACTTGCCTTTGATACTGAACAGTTGCCTTTACTAGAGCTGGCTTACCCAGTGCAAGTAACAGTATCTACATGACTGTTCATTCCCATTCAAGCCTAAGGATATCAATTGGCCTACTATTGGAAGAGACTACTGTTGCCCTTCATGCACAGGATACAGCTTTACAGCTATATCTCCAATAGGGAGGCCACATAATGACTTCATATTTTCATTTTTACATCTTATCTGGTGGTATAAATAGATTGAGAAGTTTCTGTTTTCGCTCCGCTAAATGCCGAAAAATTACGTTATTTGAGGTTTCTAAATTTAGTACTTGTGTTTGTTTGAATTGTTTAAAAGTATTTTACAAGCAATTGCTAGTTTTTAATATGAATGAACAGAGGTTTGAATCCTGCTCATGGGGAGTTACAAAAACCACAGAAAAATTGGTGACCAACTAGTGATTGTCCCATAACTCTGAGCTATAGGCCTTGTCAGTAGGAGGAGAAAAACTGGTAATTTCACTTATTTACTCGTGGGTTAATCCTATATCTAAGTTAGTAAAGCCCTTGGTGTGCAAAAAGTCTCAGGTTCACCCATTTTTACTGAAAATGCAGAAATTGAATTACCAGACATTTAAGTTTATTTCATATGTTAAAATTATGAAATGCAAAGTTATATAGGAACATTATTTAACAAAAACTGAAAAGGTAAAGCTCACATGATCTCTATCATTTAGCTGTTAAAGAGGGCTAACTGATCATGACATAGGTTTTCCAACCTAAAGTAAGCTTATGTATTTTCATTTTACAATTTACCCCACCAAGCTATAAAGAACACTTGACTGTTAAATCTATATGTAATAAAGGGAAGAACCTCAACCCCCTTTTGATATGAAAGAGAATAAAGATGTGTATATGTCTAAACTAGTTGACTTAAAATATTTTTTTAATCTGATTCTTACTTAATGCCCTCTTAAAACTTAATGTTTACATATATATATATATATTCACACTTGTATAAATAAAAATATTTGTAAGTAGCAACTGCATCCATGAATACTTGTTTACTTATTGAAAACAAAGAAAATGAGTACTTTTTTGTGGTGTTTTCAGATTCTCCAATTATCAACAGTTAAAAATAACACCTCAAATAATTAAAGGTTCGAACAGGAAGAGATGTACAGAACTAAAACTGAAAACCTGACTCACCTAGGTTGCAGAAAATAGATTACACAAAGTTGTGGTAAAGCCATATCTAGACTCCATGTTCAAACTTTTGTTTATTCACTACTTTATGATAGCATTTCTTCTGCCATATGCTGACCTTTCCTAGCTGCATATGAATGAATTCATGTGCATGAACTAACACAGAACTCAGCCATTCCACATATTTGTGGACACTGTAGCACATCTACCCTATAGTGGCAGACAATACATAAATGAATAAGATCCACAAGAAACCTTATTTCTCGGTTAAACATGAGTCTGTTTAGCAAACAACCAGTCATCTTCTGTTCTGTTTCACAATGTGATATCAAAAGGTACACTAAGTGCTCATCCCAGTCAGTTTGTTCAGGATTCCTAAACTTCACCAGCACCTGCTTGATAGTCTATATTACTTACTCTGCTAAACCATCAACCTGGAGGGTGATATGATGAAGTGCACATCTTCACCACATCCAATGTTTCAGTCTTGTGCTGGAAACCTGGGTATAGTTCTTCAGTAGATAACAGAGACAGGCTAGTAGCTGAATCTAGGAAGTGCACATTTATGCTCATGCAGGTGGAATTCCTTGTCATATTATGGGAAAAGACAGAGTCCCATTCATTCTCATAATTTATAGATGGCAAGCCATCTGTGCTATTTTGTGAGTCAAGAATAAAGCTCATTCAGCAGTTCTGGAAGTCTCAGGCAGCATTTCCCATTCCTGAACTTGCAGTCAGATCAAGATTGAAGACATGGTCCTTTGCAGCATTGGTGATAGGCCTTTGTCAAGAAGAAGACTTCTTTTAGACCTTACACCTCCCTTAAATCACTATGTTGAACTTTTCCTCTTGTGCATAAGTATTTTTGTCTTTGAAATGTAATTTCCAAGTTTTACCAAAGTATGTAACTTATGCTACAGAAGAGTACAAAGGAGCACAGAAAATGACACCCATCAAAATCAGCAAATTGCCAAAAACAAATCCTGTGGTCACAAGACTGAAATTCTCTCTCTACCTTACTCTGTGGTATTCTTGGGTTCACTGATTATCTACAAGGAAAAGTAGCACCTCAAAAAAGTAGAGGTTCAAACAGGAAGTGAGCTATGCAGATAAAGCTGAAAACTTGACTTAACTGAATTGCAGAAAAGACACTGAACACTGTAAAATCAATCTTTGTCTATAACAATAAGTTAGTATTTGATGAGTGCACAAGATGTCAGACTTTGCTTCTAGAGATTCTTTGTTAAAGTCCTGAAAAAGAAAGTTAAGATGAAGAATTATGATTCTCTAGAAAAAGTTGACATTATATTTACAGAGAAAATATTGTCATTTCTCTGAAATTGCAGGTGTTACCCACATCATGTGTTATCCTAAGGTACAGTTGAGAGGGTTTAATCTCCACATAAATCTAAACTTCAATATGGCAATGTTACTAGAGAACCTAAAATATATTTCCACCAACATCGCCTTTGAGAATAATCTAAAGATACCTAAATGGAACACTTGTCTTGACTGTGTGTAATTAGCACATGAGATAAGGTCAGTGCTGCACATTGTGGATTCCTGCATGTGAAGGTCTAAAAGTGTTCTAATTAGATGTATTTGGAAGAATTTGGTATATAGTTTACCTTTCTAAACTAAGAGTTCAGGTGAAAAATGGTACTTACAGGAACCACATTTGTAACACAGTTGTTAGTCTTCAAGGTATCATTAATCCTTTTTTTCTAGAATGATGAGTTATACCATGAACAGTGTATCCATTTAAATAATTGTTACCTTGTGAGCCAAACCAAACGATTTTATAACAATGTGTGTGACATGTTAGATCCTATTACAGAAAATAATGATTTATTACTAATACATAATTTTTAAGTATGTATTGTAACTAAGTCCATAACTATATAAAATTAGGGAACTTCTATAAAACCTTTCATTGTTGGTTTTCTAAGTTTTGGCCTTAAGGAACATTATTGACATTTGTTATATTTCTTATATTTGATTGAATCATTATAGATAGTACAGTCTGAATGCTATATTTAACTAGCTGTGCTCATTATGAGCTGTATATGTTCTGATCTGTGTATGTAGCTTGCTTTGATCAGAAGTTAATATTAATTTGAAATAGCCATTTCTACTTTGTTTGGCTTTGAACCTTATTTATATCTGGCTGGAAAAGATGCACTGAAAAATCATTAAGTGATTAACTGGTATACATTGATTAAACTAGAACTGAAGTTTGGAAACTTAGTACAGTAAGCAACAGTTTAAAGTCTGCCTTAAAAATATTCTTGGGTGATGAGGATTTTTGTATCATGTTTGTTCCAGGTATCCACTATTGTAACATCTATTGTTTCCACTATGTTTTTTGTTTCATTCATTTCAAAATGAACATAAAATACTGATATAATTAAGTTATATGTTATGTATTGAGCCAGAAACTGAATGAACTTTATTTCAATATAAAGTTTCAGACTTATCTATACAAGTCACTGTTTGATTGAAAGGTACCAGCAGATATATTCTTGTTTAAGATTTATACTGACACAAATATTTTGGTTTCATATATCATTTTATTGTTTTTCAGGTTGTTTTGCTGAGGAACTCAAAAACAGTGCAACCCTTTCTATCCAACCAGAGGGAAACTCTCAGTCTAGGCCAGCAGGTGAAAGTTTTGCTGTTACTTGTATGGGAACAAGTGAAAACAATGAACTTTTCTCAGACATAAAATGGGAAGACCCAAAAGGAAACATCCTAGATCCAAGGTGACAAGTTTTTTCTTTAGATATTGGATTCCTGCTACAAAAATATAATTTAATCTGAAACTGTATAGACTAGGTATTCTCATACTACTTCTAAGTTAGGTAGTGTATTTAGTAATATAAGCTTACCAGCCAAAAGAACAAAGGTACATAAATACTTATAGATAGAATGTTTTGTTGTTGACAACTATCATTCAACAAAGTTGTGAAATTTGTTTGAACAGCTTTAATTTTTCTACTTGAATGTAGATTTAATGTATTTTGTGTTAGGCCTCATTGACACTCGGTATAGTAGATATTGTGTGATTGACTTATCATTATACACTCAACTTCTTAGAATTATCAAACATAAATGAAGAACAGAATTTCACCTAAACTAATTTAGGCACATAATAAGTCTGCTTCTTGCCATTACAGTTTTTGAAAGTATGAATTATATTTATTTACTCTTGTGTCAGTGCATTTATGTATATGCATCTAATATGCAAATATAAATTAAACATCTCTATAGATTAGTATATGAATGTATCTTTATCCTACTTTTTTTCAAAATTATAATACATATTCCTTAACAAACAACATGCCCAACTTTTAACTCCATTTATTCTACCCTTAAGCATTCACTCATGATCAGAAAAACTAATACAGGCATGTATTTTTAATTTGTTGAGATAGAAGTGCTGGAAACCCTCAGTAAGACTGTTTGGATGATTTGGGTGACATGGCATTCTGGGAAGTTTTGATAGAAATTAGAATTGAATATAGTTCTAAGCAAAATTGTTTTTCTCTCAGAATTTTCCTGGTATTAGTCAGATTTGCCCTTGGTTTGGTTGAGTAATATAACCTCAGATTTTGTGTTGTCTTCATCTAGCAAAAGAAATGAACCTCATAATTAAAAGTATCCTTGTTTAATTTTAACATTCATGTGCCACATCATTTTATGGTTATTATTACAGCTAGAGGAATACTTAGCAGGATCTAAAACACAAGTTCTCCTCTCCCTCCAGTTATAAAGTTGTGTCACAGCACAATTATCAGTGTACAGTCCAGATAGCATGGCATCACCCATAGTTTCAAAACAACTGATTGCAAGGAGACAACTGTTTGGTAGCATCCTGCTGCTGTTTTTGTTATATATGTCATATCACATAGCTATTTATTAATAAATTTATATTTACTTTATTTAATTATCATGTATAACTTTTTTACAACCTTGTCCATAAGAGGAGACATAAAGAAATGCAGATCAAGACTGCTAATCACTGCTCTTTACCAGAGCAACAGAGTAGACAAATACAAGCTCACCCTAACATTAACAATATGGTATGTAACTGCACAAATTAAGCAAATGAATTCAAGATAACTATTGTATCTTCCAAATAACTTGAAATTAATCAAAATACTTATAAGAGATTAAGAAAATATTAATATTTTTTAACTACATTCACTGAGAACGAAAGTTTAACAAAGTAAGCTGTTCATAGACAAAGGAACTTATTGGCTTGCCCAACTAACATTTTGACTTGGATTTATTTAATACCACCAAAAAAAACCCATCCCTACCACCACAAACATATTTGTGATTGTAGCCATATTAATATTTTATTGTTTCTTATGCCTATGAGCATATGCTTCTTATCCTTTGAATTCAGGATAACATAATTATTTTTTTAAGACAGTGAAGTTAGCTATTTTGTTTAACAGTTATCAGACCTAACACTTTTCAAGCTTCTCATTATCATTGGCTTGTAAAGTACATGTTGGTTTTAAGTGTAACTTAGAATACCAGTCTTGAAATTGCATTATTAACATTCATAAGTATAAGAAAATTAGGTTTAATATATTCTATAAACTGACCATATATGTGTGATATGCAGGCTTATATTTTATTATGGGTGGATGTGGGTGTTAATACCAACTGCATGTTCTAACCTCCTCCAAAATGTGAAGGTGAAAGAAAAAAGAAGGAAAATCATTTTGTCCAAACTTTTATTAAAATACCTCTAATAATTTTCAACAGCAAAATAGAACAAAATTTTGTGGGTATTTAAGGATGAAAGTCAGTTTTTATCCAATATAAGTGCACAATAATTTTGTAAATTCTAAACATAACCTCACTGTATTACAAGTTAACTATTTTGTACTTTTTACTCTACCAAAATGGTATATTTTAGCCTAAATAAAAACAAATTCTATTTGAGATCCAACTGGATTAGTGAACTTGTAGTATATTGATGCCTCCTCACAAAACTCTAAAAGTAAAATATTGAGCTAAAAAAGATGCATCATGGAAATATAGGTTGTTATTTTATTTACCTGAAGAGAAATGTCTTGTAATAGACTCCTGTTTGTGTTAAACAAAGTTAAGAATAATATACTGTAGATGTATTGCATCATTTACATATTTCATCCAGCTTAATCTAAAGCATATAAACTCTATGAAATATATGTCTTCAGATACAATCTGTTGTTCTAAAGAAACAAGAATACACATACTTTGGTTCATGGTTCACCATTACATAGTTTCTTAAAACCACATTAATAAGAGCATACATGTACATATCCCTGTTTCTTCGACCCCTCATCTGATTATGTTACAGTTGTGTTACGATCAGAGGACATGATTTCCTTGACAATCTCATCCAGTGCCATGACCTCATATGCTCTCCTGCATCTCTAACTCTCTTTTTTTTTTCAGAAAGAGTGTCTATGTCTATCACATCCAACTTATTGTGGTATTTTCAGTTTCTTTCAAACATCTTGTTGGCTGTTTCAACTATAGCAGCTTCTGATTGATTTTATGACATGTGGAAGCAGCTTTTCATCTAGTCCGCTCTTTTGTAAATTTCTGGCCTAACCTCTCAGATACTATAGTGTATATGCCTAAGCGAACTCATAGGGTATATTAGGTCACTATTTGCTTCAGATTCCATTTTCTAGTAGGATCAGTTTCCTCTGTGTCATCTGAAGTATTGTATGACTTGTCAGCACTATCATCCCCTGCTGATGCTTCACCACTGTCGAATATGTCTACAGTAGAGATATACTGTTGACTGTCTTCTCAAAATAACACAAATCTTGTTTCTGCCTTCTTATTGTTGTTGACCATTTTTTGTCAACGTAGTCCTGTCAATACATTCTCCTGTCATTTCACTGATCTTCCAGGAATATCCATTCAATATCTGACATTTTAACATCATGAAAATCTTGCTCTATCTTTCTTTGGTCAAAATCCTCATAGAATTTGTCAGACACTGTTTCACAGGATAAGTTCAGAAATTTTATTGTAGAACTGGTCATTCTGTTTTTTACTTGTTTGGACAACTTTTACAAATTCATCATATAGCCTAAGTATATGCTTCTTTATGTTTTTGTTTTTTGAAATTATGTAAAGATTACAGAATAGCCATTGTTCTTGTAGAAGTGATTCCAACATATCTTCTACATTATCTTTTGATCTTTGTAACTGTCCTGCATGTTTTGGCCAGAGGAGATAGAGTATCACTTTGATAATGTTCTTTTTGGATAGAAAACTCCCATGGGGTAGCTCAACTGCTTCAAAGAAGTCAGTGCCACCAAGCTTTTCTTACCTGAGCATCTGGTTTCAACAGATTCCACGTTCAATTACCTTCACCAGAATAAAAGTAATTGTTATGAAGTTAGACATATAAGTTTCTCTTTATTATTATAATAGTAATGCTAAGTCTGATCCAAATCACCCAAAGTCTTCTTAGGTATCTGCAGTTCAAAAATTCTTCTCTTAACCATAAATATATATATAATAAAGGAACTTTGTCAGAAAAACATATCAATTTCAAAAATGTCAAAGTTGAAACCTGTAATCACATGTACATATCAAAGTAATAAGAAGCATTTTAAAAAGGTAAATTTGCAATAACATATAGTGTTAAGTGTAAAAAAAGTATTATACATCAGATAAATATCACTTTTATGTTTAAGTTAATACCTACAATTGCAATTAAAGGTTAAACAAATGATAAAAAACAATGAAAAAAATCAGTAATTACATATCACTAACTTGAAGGAGTATGTACAGGGGGTTAGAGAGTGTGTTCAATATTTAAAAAATATTTTGGTTTATTTTGACTCAATGCATATATTCAGTGGGGTAGAGATTGAAGAGTTAACAAGCATAGAAAGACAGTTATATGAGAATTATGTTGAATTTAAGAAAAGCCCTCTACTGTGCATAGGACCATTGCCAGTGCTGCAAAAATCCATGAAGTTGGCCATTCTTCAACTGCTGACTCAGGAACACATAAGGATACATTTCAGTGAAAAGGAAGTGCAGACAACTGAGATTCACTGGAACAGATTGGTTCCTTGCAAGTTCAAGACCACATAGGGGTAGTGGAGTTCCTGTGAGTGGCTTGCATCCAAAAATTAAAACATCAGTGGCATCTCTAACTGGCATCCACCAGGAGTGAGAGAAACTTTGATCTGGCATACAGTGGTCTGTGAACAAGGCCTAACATATCACACCTCCTGATCTTAAGGAAGACAGCAAAAGAGAATCTGTGTGTGTGTGTGTGTGTGTGTGTATATATATATATATAAATGACATGGCCATTTACACACTTTTTACACGTACACAAAAAAACACCATCACCAGATATGGTATAGTCCTGCCCTTATTCCTGGCTTACACTTGCTGTCTTTAGTCGTTGTAACCCATTGCACTGTATCTCAGTGGGGATACAATTCCAGATGATTATGCCTAATTTCAGTGGTTGTTGTACACCCTCCATTGTTCTCCCTTACGTGTATCCCCACCCCTGTTTTTCTAGTACAGCATGGGAGAATGCTTATTTCCTTAGTCCCAAGCTGTTAAGGTTTTTGGTATGTGCAGGAAATTCCATGGCAGTTTCACATAAGGTAATGTCTCTTAGTGGTGTAGGTAAGGAAATTGTTAACTTTTAAAATCATCATGTTTAGTTCAACAGAAGTTTATCCCAAGAGAGAGAAAGCTGTCTTTTCTTGTACATAAATATATATGCTGCATTTTCTGTTTGCTTGTTCAATAATAAAGATTGTTTTCATTTTTATCAACTTTGTCCAATCTCATTGTTTTGCACACACACACACACACAGGGAAAACCTGGTTATCTAGTCAGTTTGACTCACCGTATTTCATAGACGAATCTGTAGTTATTAGCAGATTTGTATATCTCATACTTGTCATGAAATCAGCAGTTTTTACCTGAAAATATCATATGTTTATAATAGTAAAAATGATTAAGAAAGAAGTATTGTTGTTCTAGATGGTAAATCAAAGTGCTGTGCAGTGAGCTTTTGAGCTACTTTCATTTGGAGGACTGGGGAAAGCAAGAACTTCTAGTGTACTTGATTAGAAGTTCCCAATTTCAGTTTAAAAAACCTTATTGAAAATAGTTAGAACTAAAGAAATAAAAAAACTAATAAAATAAAGCAGTATTGTACTGAATGTCTCATACCTTTAAGCTACATATTGTTAGATTTTGTTGCAGTTAATCATAATAAATTTAATAATGTTAGATTATTTGGGTCACCAGCTTGATGTCAGCTTTTTGCATGGTAGTTCTATTACTGGATATTTGGTGATGATAAAATCTACAAAAAATGAATTATACTACTAATAATCTCATGAATTATATGTTTGTACATAACTGACTGCTTCTTGATGTTTCCCTTATGAAACTTACTAAGTAGTTATTTCCAGATTATAAGCTTAAAAAAATAATCTAATTATCTTTTGATATAATAGTTTTCAAAACTAGCTTTTCGATCTAGTGCATCAGCCAGTCACAGTTACATTGAGTCACTGCTTCTTGACATTGCTAATTTCCTTACTCTGAAATAACTATTTCTTACTAGATGAAACTGCTATTGATACTTTTACACTGCCTGACCCAAAGCTTTGTTGTTGCTGTTTGTTTTTTGTGAGTTTTATTCAACTGTGATTGGAAGAAAGATGTCCAACAAGTTATGCTTTCATTCTTTGTTACATTAAATAGAGCCAAAAATCTTCTTATAGAGACCGTATATTTTGATCATTATGGCAAGTTAATCATAATTACATTTTGAGAAAAATTCCTAAAATAGTAGTGGAAAGACTGAGTATATATTATCAGTTCTTAAACAACTTTTATAATGATTAAACAAATGTTCACATTCCTAATTAAAAATAGTTTAACTTAAGACTGTGAACTTTTTGTCTTTGAAATAGCTTTGCTATAGCCTGTTATGTCAATAACTGACCATGTAAGAACTGATGTAGCTTATGAACTATTTATAGTAATGTGTTGTAATGAAGTCTAACTGAAGTAAGACACTTCAACTATAAGTAAGTGATGATTGATGTACTCCTTTTTCTTGTATATGATAGTGGAAATAACCTAAAGGTTGAAGTGAAAAAGACAAGTGAAAGTACACTGTCACTTGTATTTGTTGATCCTCAAACAGAAAACTCAGGCCAATACTCTTGTAAAGCATCTTATAACTCCAAGCAACTGGAGACTGCTGTTGAACTGACTTTCTTTCGTAAGTATTTGAAGAAAGTTATGGTAATTTGCTTGGTTTATTAATAAACCTATAAATTTTATACAAACATGGATTTTCTAAAGTTATACCTAAATCCAAACTTGTGTCAAATTACGTGTGAATGATATTGTATGCTTATTACATCACATATAATTTTGATTACGAATTTATACAAGCTTTAATGAATGCCTTCTTAACTTTAGTTAGGATATAATTACATTGTACTCCAAACAAAACCTAAGTATTCTTTGATGTTAATGTTAGCTGAGAATTGAGGACACTATATACATTATTAAACAAAACTTAGGTATTTCTTTGTGTTAATGTCACCTTAGAAATAAAAGTACTGCATACTACTAATTGTAATGCCACTTGTAGAACAATAGTTCAACTTCTGAATTAAACATATCTTAATATTAATATCTACTGATGTGTAATGGCACTACTCAATCAAATTAAATATATATTTTTTTTACAAGTCCCAGTATTATTTTAAAACAAAGTTGAAGAGTAATAGCTAGTAAAATCATGACCCAATACTGAAACCTGTTTGAACATCCTGAAGAGTTACTGACAACTATTTAGAAAAAAAAAGGAATTAAATTGGTTTTTCATTTACTATGAGAGTTTTTTAGCTACCACGTGATAATGGCTTCAGTACTATTGCTTTAAATAATACTTTGATAATGGCTATCATGTATTGTTATTGTTGTCATGAACACTTAATCAGATTAGTTACTACAAAGTAGATCTTTGACAATTATATCAACTTATTCAATTTTACATGAAGTATAGAAAAATCATTCATACTATTTATCATCCATGTCAACTTGTGAATTGTTTTTCAAACGTAACTCATTTGGTGCAGATGTGGCATCAAGAATTGTTGTAAAAAATTGTATTTGTTAACAACATAAGTTGTAGCACATTTATTGTGGAGGAAAGACTGAAATTTCAAGAATGAAGCACAAATACTTGAAGATATGTTTTTCTTATATTTCAGTATAAATAAGTGACTAACCTTTTCCTTTTAGATTTATTTTTTGGCAAGATTAAGTTTTTTTTCCAAAAATATTATTAATATCAAAAGAAATTGACTTATTACAGAAAACTGAAAATTATCTTCCTAGAAGAATTATATGTGAATGAATTTATTTTTAACTCTAACATTTCAAAACTAAGCTACACCTTAGTTTTTAAAACATGAAAATCTAAGTAGTTCAAATGTTTAACTTTTTCATAATTAATTAGCCAAAGCATATTATTAGATATATTAAAACACTTAGAGGTTAGAAAACCTTACTTTATCTTTGTACTTAATGTCTTGATGATTAATGTTTCTGCATGTGAAGATTACTCATGTTCACATGGTGCATGCTCAGATACAACTCATTTTTTATAGAGTGAGTTAGTTTCTTTTATTTAACTTTTACTGTTATTTTACTTGTTCCTCTTTTACCCAGGGCTCAGTACTATGTCACTCATTTGTCCAATCACAAGGATGGTTTAGTGTCCACTGAAATGAAAATTCTGTTATAGTGCTGGATTACTTGCTTCTTTCTCATGTTATATTACCTACATTATATGTTTTTAATGTATCATAAAATAATTGTCCATTTTGAGCAAATATATTATTTGATCAAACAGATAATTATACTTAAAATCTTAAGTATAATACAGTTCAAAGTTTAGAGTGATGGATATACATCTCCATCTTTGTTACTTTTATAATCAGTTCTTAATGGGCTACAAATACGCATAAGATGGTAAAGTTCTAACAATATGTAGTATCGATAAGTGTTTTGCTAAAATATGATAATGTCATAACAATTCTTTTATTTTATGACAATACAAACAAGAAATAAACAGGGTATGTACAGTTTAAAGTTTTAAAACTTATGGTTGTGACAAAGTATTCTGGGCTTGTAAGTAAGAGTAGTTGAATTAGTGTCTTAGGAAATCTTCTTCAGGTTGCATGAGGATACCTCACATTAATTCATTTAATGATGCATTGAATTTTTCATGGATGACAGATGCTGGTGTAAGATAGTTCTAAGTAATAGTCTTTAAATGTGTAACAGTTTCATGAGTATAAATTAATTATGTGCAGGTGAAAAGAAAGCATGATAATACTCTATCAGAAGTATTGTTTTTCTTGAGGTAATATGTTTTATGTACAGCATATGTTACTTATTTCATTTTATCTGACAGATGACATCACTTGGGATGATTGCTCTAAAGAACAGGCATTGACTATTAATCAAGAAGGAAAGTTACAGTGTAAAGTTTCAGCTAATCCTTCTCCTAAAGTTTCGTGGGTAAAGTTAGAGGGAGGTCATAGTATTGATTTGGATGAAAGCAGGTTTACAGTTGTGAGTAATCAAGTTTCAATAAATAAGGTACAGGAAAAAGATGGTGGAAAATACCGTATCCAGGCAATGGTCACAGAAACAGGAAGATTTAAACATCGTGACATTATCGTGGAAGTTTATAGTGAGTGAATTTTTGAATAAACTGGGATTTTTTTATGTTCAGTAACTTTTTGTCTGTGCAAATGTTAAATCTGTTGTATTTGTACTAGATTATCTGTAATATATGTATTGATCTATGTTATGACTCTTCCCTACCTCAATTACATTTTGTTACTATGATTATGTGTTCCTCATAATAGACTAATTTTTATATTTAAGAGCAATTCATTACACCATAAGCTGCCAAGATTATTTTTGTTTGGTTCCCTATTCCTTATATTATTTTCAATCCCTTATGTAAATTCTAAACAAATAATACTTTTTCTCAGTTGGTATATGATGAGAAGGGTCTAGCTGTTTCATTATTCTTCTGATTACATTTAAGCATCAAGTACTAAATAATGGGACATCATATAAATTTCTTATATTAATCAGTCATTTTACCATGATTTGCCTCTGTCTTTATTTTTCACATAAATGTACAAATTCCCTGATTATTGTGACATGTAAAAATGGAACTGTTGTGTTTAAAATTTAAATAAATATTTGTTATCTGTTTAAAGCTGTTATTCATAGTAACTACTTTCATGTGCATAAAGGACATAAAAGACTTTTCAAAAGTTAACAGACTAGTGTACATTTGAGCTATGAGTGGCCAAAAATACAATCGATTTTAGAGCTAGAAAACCCCTTAGAATATAAATGTTGATTCAGGAGGAACTCTGAATTTTAAAGGTAATGAGAAACAGAGTACAAGAGGAATACTTGTATGCTAGCTGGTTTGGTTGTGATAAACCCAAGAGTTTATTTTATATAATAATTTGAAGCAAATTCATTACTTTTTTGAATTATAATTACTATACATTTGAATGGTGAGAAATAAGTGTATGCAAAAGTAAAAGAATGAGTCTGTATAAATAACTGTAATATATATACACTGAAATCACTTATGTGTGATACACTATTGATGATACCTTTCAGGCTTGATGGTGAGACATAAGTGTTGCTTAGGATGTATAATATCATTCACTGTTGTTGACATAATACTAAGTTTCAATTTTATTAATTACATTTTCAATAGAATATGGATATAGCTACATGACTGACAATGAAGGATCAACTGATTTTAATAGATTTACCTATGCATTTCTCTTCTGTTTCAATATATCATCTATAAGTTATTCTATTTAATCTTGCTTCTTTACTTTATTTGTTTATCACATTTTTTAAGGATTGTGTGCATCTTGTAGGATCAATCACAAAGTCATGACATATGCTGCAAACTACTGACAAGAGTTTAGCGAGTGTGAATAATGGTCATAACTTTTCTTTGTCTGCTTTGTTTGTGGGTTATATGGTTGATATATGAGTTTATTTTTATCCGACAAATTTTATCAATGGGATGATCTCCCTCAAGAATAGGCATAGACTATTAATCCAGCATGGTAATTTCAATGTAAAATTTCATCTAATCCTTCTTACTTAACATCTCTTGGACTAATTACTACTTGATTTTAATTAAAGTTTCTGGCCACTGAACATTTTTATATCAGAATTTAACAGATTGAAAAGGGTTTTTGTTTCTAGTACTTAATAACTTTTAACTTGCATGCAGATATTTCTCTCTTTAGTTATCTCTAATCAGTAATTTTTGACTTTCTAAATTTCTAATTCCCTCTCTATTTCCTTTAGACTAGACTATTAAGTAGAGCAATGCTAGTTGATCACACACAACAAAATATCCAGAGCTTGATGATAACTTAGTCAAATTTAAGGAAGTATAAGGTTATAAATGTGGTTAACACTATATATTATGTTGGACAGGAGATCTAAAAGAGGAGTATTCATACTGGGACCGACATTTTTTTTAAATAGCAATGAGTTAAATTTAATTTTATAGAATAAATATGGTGCAATTATGAGCCTGTATCAAACAATACTAGAAAAGCAAAATTGAGTTCATTTTGCTAAATTCCAAATCTAGATTAAGTTTCTTTTTCTTCTTTTGACAGCCACAAACCCACCCCTTCCCTCACTTTACTAAAATTTCCCTTCCTGTTGAACTGGTATATTAACATAAGTAAATATCTTGATTCAACCCATGACAGCAGGAGCATTATAATTAGAACAAACAGATCTATAAATTCCCTGGGGTTTTGTTTCTGCTTTGTGAGCTGCACTCTTAGTTTATAACTGGATATAATTTTTCTTAATTTCTCTATATATAAGTAGTGTTTATCTTTATGAACAAAACTTGACTATTAAAAAGGCTTACTGTTATAAGTGCATATAATAATTAGTAGATAGCCTTGTTGATGACTGAAGATACTGTATATGCTTACAAAAAATAGTCAGAAATTTTCTCTCAACATTTCAGTTTTACACTTATCAAAGCACTAAAACAATGGGGACTCTGGTAAAACTGTTTTGAACCAGCATTTTCACTGTAAAAGTATGTAGAAATTCCAACCATTATTATTTGATCTACATTTACATTGATATTATTGATTTTTTCCTATGTTGTATTTGGGAAAAATTGATTTGATAGTAGAACGAGATATTCATTTTTAAATGCATGTTCAGAAAAATCTACATTTCCACTTAGTCAAAAAAGGTGCATTTGCTTCTTTTACAGATATTGTGGTTTACTTACTGACAAGTTTCTTTAACAAATACTATTACAGTTCCTCCTAACATCACAAACTTTCAGGAGAAAGTTGAAGAATTAGAAGAGACAGAAGCTAGTCTCAAGTGTTGGGCTGAAATTGGCAACCCAGCTCCTTTGTACTCATGGTTTGATAAGGTAATGTAATTCTGTAACATTGTGACTAATATTTTGCACCAAGTTCCTTTGAACATGTATAGAAAGCTTGCTGTTGTATGAAAGATATTGCATACTAAGTTCCTATTTGTGCTTGTTGAATTTGGAACTTGCTACAATATTTTAGTAACTGTTTATAAAATTTGAATAAAAAAATTATAGATTTGTAAATTTAAAACATTAAACTATTCAAAAAATAAGGACTTAAAAAATGTAAGGGTTTCAACATCTAAACTGAAACACATTAATAGAATCAAAACCTCATTCTTGAACAACTTTTCACTCAAAAAATTTATCACCAAAAAGATAATGAAATGATTAGTCTGATAACCAAGAGGTATTGGATTTACATTTTATTCAAATAATATTTAATTTTAAAATATTTTATAAATAAGCAAATGTTTATACCACTCAAATGAGCAGATATTCATGAAAATATATTGTTTCAAGAATTTTATTCTGTCATTAATATAGCTCTATTATTGTTTTGGGTGTTATTCTGGAATCACTGAATAGCATTCATAAACTTTTCAAATATTATTCAGCTACTTCATAGTATTTTGTTTGGGTTATTTGTCAGAAAAATACACATTTTGATTGCCTTTGTGTTACACTGTTTTAAATATCGTGATCTTCAAAATAATTTTGAACTTTTTCAGAATGATATTCTTCTTGGAACCCAGGAAAGGTTTTTAGTCAATAAAACTACTGGAATCCTTTCCATAAAGAATATTAAGAAAGAAGACACTGGGACATACACTTGTGTGGCTGAGAATGAAGCTGGCCAAAATAAAAAACAGTTAGAGCTAACAGTTCTATGTGAGTTTTTGTTCTTGTTTCTATACATAAATATCTCAAATATCAAGCTTAAAACTGAAGTGAGTGTAATTTACAATATTAATTATTGACATTTTTTTGTTGGTTATCTGAACAAAAATTGTATGTTTTACCATGTTGTTTACACCAGTGTTAGACTTGATTATTGTACATCTCGTGTTGAAGTGAATAATGATCTCATTACATAAGAACAAATTTAAAAATTACTTGTTTATAAGATCTATACTGCGAAAAGTGAAAAGTTTTTATTTCTGTAACACATGTAATGTGTTTTTAACATATTTAGATGTTTAATATTTGTCAGTTTCCCAGGCTTATACTAAAACTTTGAACAATTAGTAAAAGTTTTAGATGTTTCTTTGCAAGTAAGCAATACAGAAATTTAGCAGTAGTTGCAAGACCTCTAAAATACCAGGTACAGCTAGTACTCACCATGTAACAGGTACTTTGGTTCTGATATGATTTTTATTTTTGAATAATTTCTGGTCTCTTTTTTTTTTCTTCTTCTTCTTCTTTCATACAGCCAAACCAAACATTTTCAGTTTGAAAATGGAATTACAGTTGAAGGAAAGTCAGCTTCATTAGAGTGTCGTGCGTCAGGTATCCCACCTCCCAAAGTCTCCATCCGTAAAGAAGGAGTAGATGAAGAAATTGAATCTGTAAGTACTAGTGAATAGTACTTAGATGGAAGTTATTGTACATGGTTGGCCATAGTAATTCTTTCAATAAAGGAAAGCAAAACTACAAATAACACAACAAACCTTTCTTTATAATAAAGTCGTATTTGCATAGACACTGAATCAGTCAGACATTACATTCATCCAAAGTATGTACCACTGTCCAAACATCATCAACCCCCTCTCAAAAAAATGTCGGATCTTGCAATGTGAAAAGACTACAGCATATTAAGAATTTCATTTTTTTTAACTTGCAAAATCTTAACAGTTTTAAAGAACTGAAGAAACTTAAATTATATATACAACTGTAAACTGATAGATAGTAAAAGGTACTTTTGTTATGACTGATTATTACACCTGTGTTTCTCTATTCATGTTCACACTAGGATGGGAAAGCAACCTTTAGATTTTGCATGTATGTTATTCCATAAGGTTTAAACACAAGTGTACTTTGTCTTTAAATGATCATTGGTACTCTTCATTGTATTTTCCATAAAAGTTTAAAATTACTTGCAACTGTAATTTTATAATTTTCTGTAAGCTTAACTAGTATGAAATTACAGATAGTAAAATAGAAAATATCATATTTTATGTTTTAAGTAATTATTGAAAGTTTCACTCAGGGAGAGAAGGTGTCTGTTAATACAGTTCAAGAGGAGAAAGTTGTAAGTTTGAAAATGACTATAAACCAAGTTCAGAAGCAAGATGGCGGTTTGTACTTCTGTAATGCAGAAAACGTGGCTGGAAGTGTAGAAAAGCCTGGACATCTAACAGTAGAATGTAAGAAAATAATCAGTTCTTTGATGTGTCCTACCTGTAATTGAATGAACATGATTTTTAATGCATTTTGTTTATTTTCTTCTAATTTACTGAAATTTTATTTCATTGTCAGTTTTTAAATTCTGTTCAAATCAACTCAGATGTGATGAGTTTTGTAAGATCAATTAACTGTAAGTTTTCATTTGTACTATAGAAAAAATTCTATATTAATTTATACATATTAAACATAATAGCAATTGAAAGATAATTTTTACTTACATTTATATATAATTTTGCACACTTAACAAAAAAAAGATGTATTAAGATTCTGCTATGAATAAGAGTCTTACTAGTGAAGACACTAAGCAGTGCTAACTACAAGGTGGACATAGCTATATCTCTTTTAATGTTTGTCAGTACACGTTTTTAGTTGTCTGTTCATCTCTTTTATGTAGAATTTGTCTGATTTCTCATGTATGAAATGAAAACAATCAGATAAATAGTCAACTGGTATATGAAAAAAGAAGTGGTCTGCTTCAAACTCAAAATTCTAAGGCAGTTTACCAAATTAAGTGTTACTTAGAAAAAAGAACAGACATACATTCTCAAATTCTGCTGTGGCTGAATATGTACCCCTAACCAGTTGTAGAAATTCAAATGTTAATATTTTAGATACTTACTACAGTTTAGAAGATATGTTTTTTATGAAGATTTTTATATTTCCAACAACCTTGATACAAAGTGAAAACCATTTCACAATTATCCAACTTATCCTTCACATAAATGGTGTCTGTCTTTTTATTCATATTAACACTGAGTGCTTGCTGTCTTAAGGAGATGACAGTTGTTGAAATTTCAGGCAGCAGCAACCTGTTACGATGCTTATGAAGCTTTGTTATGCGAGAAGAACAGAGATAACTTTACAGCTGAGACCATTGTTTTCTTTCGTTGTTTTCATATGTATATATATATATATATTCTTTTCTTTTTCAATCTCAGGTTTTATTGATTGTATTTTTTGTGTGACTCACATTTAATTATCTGGTATTTTGTTTTTCCAGGACAAACAATTCTCTGTAAGTTTTTGGGTCTTTTTTTTTAATTGTAGGAAACACATAACAAAAATAATCTTTTGGCTAATTTCAGTATATATATATTTAAACACAAGTTTATATGCTCATTTGTGAGCTTTTTATCAGATGAAAATGTAGTAAACCTGTGCACAAGTCACATGATCTCCACATAAACAAGAAGCTTGTGGATTTAGTATGTGGAAGAAGAAAGTGCAGTGATTTGTTACAAGTGGATTGAAAGAGACAAGACACAGTGCTCAAGTTTGAAGCAAGAATATGAGACACCTTATTTGATGAAAAAACAAAAGAATGGCCAATAATATGGGTAGAAAGTGCTGTTGTGATATGTTGAGTTTAAAAGTTAAAATACTGTGTATCTAAACCCTTCCATACGATTACCCAATGTTGGTGTCATTTGAAGTCTTGATTATTCATTCGATGATGCCACTGTTGGAGTCATCATGCTTAAGTTTATGTTTAAGAAGGAAAATATTCCATTATGCTTATCAGAGCATTATTGAATGTTTTGTAATGCTCTTCAATCTAAATGACAACATTTTCATTCACCAATCAGAAAGTTTCACAAAATAAGTGATGAGTAATTGATTGAAGTAATAATGGGGTGGTGTCAGTTGCATGTGGGTGTTGATTGAATGGTAACTAGCTATAAATAAGTCTCATTTTGCATACATTTATGAATGTTTGAGTAAAATAATATACAAAATCTAAGTGACGAAGGTATGGGTGACAGTGGTAGTGAATATGCTTTTTGAAAAAGGCTTTTTTTTTTATGCTAATCCACAAGCTAATGGAATTGTAAATAGTATCCAGTGGAAAGACCTCACTGAAAATGATATATTTATGCTTCTTGCTCTTTATTTTTATACTGGAATATGTAACTATAGCGATATGAACCAGTATTGGGCAAGAATGCCCTATGAACCAGACATTAATTTTTTTACGCTGCCATAATTAGTAGAGACAGGTATATGTCAATTATGAAATTTTTACGCTTTACCAAAGTAAATGATGTGAAAAACAATGCATCTTCTATACACTTGGATGCTTTTTGTGAGCTTTTGAGAATAATTTCAATGACAAATGGGGGTGCAGGAGAACATATTTCAATTGATGAGGCGTTAGTTTTATGGAAAGGGTGGATAACCTTTCACCAATTCATAAAAACTAAACATGTAAGATTTGGCATCAAATTATTTGCCATATGCAACAGTAAAAGAATTGGTGTGGATACAACTATAACTTTAGGGTGTACTATGGGAAAGACCCCAACAACCAATATTCTTTGCCTGATGTTGAAGGAGTAAATGAACTTGCATCTAGTGAAAAAATAGTTGTCCATTTAATAGAATCTGTTCTTGAACAGGGACATCATGTATTCATGGACAATTGGTATGTAAGTATTCGATTGGCACAATTTTGGGAGACTCAAAATATAACAATGATGACAACATTTCGCACAAATAGAGGAGTCCCAAAAGAGCTTCCTATGAGCATCTGGAGCATTATGATGCAGCTTTTGTTTGTAAAGACAATGCTCTGATAGTGAAATTGGAAGACTGAAGAGCAGTATATGTGAGAAGAGTTAAAAGATTCTTAGTTTGTTTAATTATGTGCTGTATAACATTTGCTTCTTTAACAGATTACAACTGCCTGTTAAATGAAGGATGAAATTTCAGCTTCTATACTGAAGCCTCAATATTCGTGTACTCCATAAATTCAGCCAACAAATTTCGAATTTCTAATAATGTTGCTACTAAAAAAACTTGTTTAATTAATGATTTGATTTTATAACCAAAAATATTATGTTGTGAGTAGTTCTGTAATTTACATTCAGTCCAAAAGTGTTGCTTTTTGTACTTAATGAAATATGTTTGCCATGGATGTATTAACAGTTAAACCACAAATGAAGACACCTGAATCAAAGTTAATCAAAACATGGAATGAAAATCCAGTCAATTTGTCATGCATTGCTGAGGCCATTCCTAATGCAACTGTTAAGTGGTACTATAATGAACAAGAAATTAAGGCTGACCAAAGTGAAACCTACATCATTTATGGGGAAGGAGAATATAGTAACTTGTTGGTGAGTGTTTTTGTGTTAATTTTGTACTTGGCAGTTTTTAATCTACACTGATAGTCACATAATCAAATTAGACATCACTGACTAAATTATAGATATTCATCATGCTGATATCCCTAAAGTGGTGTAATGATAAGAAGTAATGCTTTATTTTAAAAATATTAATATAAAGCTAATAATAATCATTAGTAATCAAAGAAAATTTCATATGTATTTTCAACATTTTATATATGCTCTAAATCCAAACTTCTGTATATATGTACTAAAGCATTTATAGAAAAAATAAAATAGGACAAAACTCATTCTCATCATATTCCAGGCCAGGTGGTAAGGGTGATCAACTCCCAAATTGTGGGTTCGAATCCCTGTCCCACCAAACATGTTTACCCTTACAGCCATGGGAGTGTTATAATGTGATGATCAATTCCATTATTTGTTGATAAAAGAGTAGCCCAAGAGTTGGCTGCTAAATTAGGGATGGCTAGTGCAGACAGCCCTCATTTAGATTTGTGCAAATTTCAAAACAAACCAAACTCACCATATTCCAGCAGCTATATCTTAGAGCTAGTAATTCTTTTGTGTGTGTGAAAACTATTTTCAATTGCAGTAACTCATTATGAACAAATTTAAGATGTTATTGTAAGCTCTTTACACTCACCTACATTCAATGACACATTCATGGAAATTTTTGAATTTTTTCAGTTTCATGGATGCCTAATAAATAACATCCATAAAAAAACATTACATACAGAGAAAAATCTCACAATTTCAAGTTGAACCATCCTCAAGAGAATCACCATCTTCTGTATTTTCATTTAAGCATTTGAAATATATAGAGAGTCATCTCATTCATCAGAACATCAAAAAAAAGACTTACACCAAATAGACTAGAGCAACCACAAGGACACTAAAAGAAATAAAACTAGACTACTTGCAAACATCATCTTCCTTTTTACAATCATGTAAGCTGTAATCTCTGATTCAACTTTGATTCAGATGTGTCAAATGTTTTGTATCTTCTTAATCTGCAATAAAGACTGAAACACAAAGTAATTTACTAAAACATTTAGTTATTTAACTATTTAGTGCAAAGGAGAGATAGACAGACAATATAGGAAAACATTTCAAATGAGCACCAACACACTTCCTACTGAATGAAAACTAACTTATCAGACTTTGCAGAACATGCTGTCAACACTGCATTTATTAAATTGGACTGGTTGTAGAACAAGCTTCAACACACCAAGCAGACACAAGAATCACTGATACATAGGAGAAAATTTGGCAAAAGAAATCTCCCTTATGTTCTGGCCAATTAAATTAACCCAGACATCACTTTTTTTGTGTGTGTACAAATCTTACATAACTACTCTCAGAGGAAATGTGTCGAACTGTAACACTCCAAGTTACCAATAAGATATGAGAATCTGGAGTGTTTTCAAGTGGTTATAGACAAATTAAAATGTTCTTATTTCTTTTTCTGCAGGAACAATGCCTACACTGTTCTGAAATCTGGTTTTGTTGATTTATATGTGATATGCTCAATTTGCTAACAGGAATTACTTTTATGTTGATGTGCATACCAACTAAAGGTCCTATATAAGTTGTTTCATGTGCAGACAGAACAGTCAGCAAAGTTTTATTGATAAATATTGCTAGTCAACTGTGTTTAAAAAAATTGGTATTTGAAATATGACAAATGAGCTGAATTGATTCACACCATATTTGATTAATGAAATGCTCACTGCATTTGAATAAGCATAAAGGAAGTAAATCATATAAACAGTGAAATAATAATTGGTTATTATGAGAATAGGCAAGTAAATAATACTTAAAAAGTTAATTATTATTAGTTTATAGAGACACAAAAAGGTGTTTTTAGAAAAAGAAAAAAGTTTACTTTTACTCAATGATCCTTATGAGATAGATATATATTACTTGCCTTAAATTATGAATTAATCAGGAAAATCATTATTTTGCTCTCAAATTTATTTGACTGAGCATTTCTTTTATACATAACTAATAGTAACCAACAAAATAAAACGTTTTTCAGAAATATATAATGAGTCTAATTCATTATTAATGCTATATAATGTTTCACAAAGGAAAAAAAAAATCCTTTACACCATTATGACATAAAAAGAAAAGCTTGTGTACCTTATGAAGAAATTAATACATAATATTAGCAAGAAAAAAGTTACAATTGAAATTATATTTTTGTGACATGTGCAATCAAGGTTAAAGATATTTTTTATACTCCAATAATATTGTTGTTCATTTTTTTAAAATATGTTTGTCGCCCCCAAGAAGTCTGGGGACTGGAGCCCTGTCATAGAGCTCTGAGCTGTGAACCGCTTCTTTGTCCTATCTCATTTAACCATGGAGTCATACTTGTCCTTTTGATGGGATTTCACTCCTGGTCTGTAAAAGAAGATGGTAGATTAGAAACCACCTACCATCATCTTCCATAGACCAGGAGTGAAAGCCCATCAAATGGACAAGTACAACTCCATGGTTAAACAAGGTAGGACTTTACCTTTGTTTTGTCCATCAGGGTTGTGTTTTTCAGTTCCAGGCTTTTTCATTTGGGCTCAATTCTGCTCCCTGTGTTTATAGTCTGGTGGTCAGTGCATTTGTCTGTTTTCATCCTTCTTGGGACCTTTTTTTTCACTGTTACATGGAGGACTGGCTACTTCTAGCTTCCTCACAGGCCACTTCTGCCATTCATACTCATTTTCTCCTTTGAGAAGTTGGTTGGGGTGGAGAAGTCTTTTCTCACCCACACGTAATAACTTGTTCTCTGTGGAGTATTGTCCAATTCTGGATGAGGGCTTCCAGAGAAGCCCACATCTCCAAAAGAGATAGAACCTCTATTATAATGGGAAAAAGGAGAGGAGGATAGGTTGAGAACCAGTAGCTCCATAACATGCAAACAAAGGAGAGAAGGTTGAGCCCAACTGATGATTTCTTGGTCATGCCAAATTGCATCACCTTCAGTGGGTGTTGATGGACCAGTGCAGCCTTGTTTCGATCCCTTGGATGCCACTCTCCTCCTTACAAACCAACTTTCTCTGGTGGTTGGGTCGAGACAACACCAGTATGGTGAATCAATGCCAAATGAGCTGCGAGGAGCACCCAACAAGTGATATGGAGAGAGAGGACTCGGATAGAGTCTACCACCTCGAGACCTCTTGAGCATCCAGGTAAGCACCCCAACTGGAAAGAGAGATATCTGTAAATAGGTGACATTTTAGATGAGAATTAAGAAGAGGAACACCAATATTTTACACATGCATGGCTGGGTAACTTCCTCCTACTGCGGACTGGATGACACATTCCCAATGCTGCCTTGTGATGAACTGGAGATGCACCCCTACTTTGCTGTCCACCTTCCCGCTGTTTCCCAGATGTTGGTTCCCTGCGAATATGGTGATGGTCGGGTTGGATGTGCACACATGATTAAGCTGGGAAGGTTCATCCATTGTTTCAACCCATATTGTGACACAATTTTCATATGTGCATAAGTAGAGTATAATTGACTCAGAAATGGTGAGATCTCCCACAGGTGTGTTACCTTCCGTTGATTCACTAGCCCCATGTTCTTTCTTTGGGCACTTTCTAAAGGGGGATCACTCCTCACCAGACCCTCCACCAACTCAATGTGGGATTCTAACTATTTGTGAGAAAAGGTAAGATATTGCTTCAAAAGTTAACATCTTTCCTACACTGAAAGTGTATTTCTGATAAATACCTACTTCTCACACTTCCCGACCGACCTCTCCACTTCTGGTGTGGGTTTTGTATGTAGTGCCCAATGTCGAAGGGATTATGGGCTGCACGGAAGAGAGGCACTAGTGACGATAGGAGTTGTGTCACATTCCTATTGGTGGAAGGTTGCTGCATGATCATTTTCAAGATAGCATGCAGATATTTCACATGAATACACATCAGGATAGGTAGGAGTATCAAGGCTAGTGGCGAATGAAAATTTGTGCTTGAGGGCAGTATAAGTCGAGAAAAGCAATTCATGAGAGGAGGAAAGTATCTATCAGAAATACATTTTCAGTGTAGGAAAATGTTAACTTTGAGTAAACTTTTTCTCCTTGTAAGCAGAAAAGACAATGTAAAACATACATCCATTAACACATAAACTGAAGTACAAACAAGTATATTTTATAGGTATACACAAGTTGTTTAGTTTTTTATTTATAAATAATATGTTGTTTCAGAACTTTGTACAAAAAAAAAGATAATAAAGACTAAGGCTGTTTGTATTATTAACAAGATTTATCTTGTTTTTTGTTTTTTCACTCAGGTGACACCTTCTTCGGAATTTGACGTGTATGGTCTCTACAAGTGTGAAGGAATAAATGAGCATGGAAAAGGCAACATTACTATTCAGCTGGATGAAGCTTGTAAGTTTTACCTAAAAACTTACGGGATGGTATAAAACTGATTGTCAGGTGTATGTTTTTTTGACATAATGTTCACATGTGTTTTAACATTTCTTAAACTGAAATGCATACCAAGACTTTGATGTAAAATAAAATTTTAAGTATTGTATTTTGTTGTGTAAGTGTGATGAAAATGCTACAACATACTAGTCTGATGGTGTGACTGTATAAGAATCTATTATACTTTTAGGTTATATGCCAAACAATCCATTAGAAATGGATCCAAAAAACTGTAAACTGTTTTTATTGAAGATTCCTTTGATATGTTTTCACATTTATTAGTTTGAAGCAGTAATTCTACTGAGTGATTAGTTACGTATCAATATTTCTGTGCAATAGCTTAGAACACTTATGTTGTTAGCTTCAAATCCACGTTTCTGTAGCATTAGTTTCAATTACATGTAGTTTAGTCAACTAAAGATGCTATTGTATGTTTATTTTCATATACACATGCCTCTGTATGGTTACTTCTGGATCCAAATGCTGCTGTCTAGCTGTATCCAAACTAATATAGTGTAAATAGTTTCAGAATGATTACTTAAACTACCTATCAGAATTGTTCATAGTTTAAAATTGCATACAATTAACTGAATTCACATTTTTTTATTTTCAAGATGTCCCAGGAAAATTGTCTCAGGTGGATTACAAAGAAGTTACCTCAACAACAATATCTTTTGAGTTTTTGAGTGATGATGATGGAGGAATGCCTATCTCATCATACTTGGTACACTACAGGGAAAAAAGTGATGCTCCAGAAAATTTCAAAGTAGAAGAATGGCTAGCAGGTAAAATTATTCATTTTTCATAGTGTCTGTATTTGTTGTGAATATTTAAACAGTTTAAAATTAAGTTTGTCCCAACTATTCTTTATCAATGTGCATTTGTGAATATTTGGGTTGAAGAGGAAAATGTGAAAGAAGTTTTAAGAGAAACTTAAAGACTTGCATTTGGTGCTTTTGCATAAACAGGAAAAACAGCTGTTGGATTTATATGAATGTCGAGTTTTTGGTTTTAAAGTTTTTACTACTCTTAAGAATATATAAACAGGATTCATATAACTCCTTGAAACTCTGGAAATTGAACTCTTAATAATTTTAGTATTTCAAATCCTGGAAGAATGGCTGTTCTTAAGTTATGATATAGGAAAAGTCCTGAATTTTCTGTTTCTCTGGAAAAATTCACCATGAAATAATTGACTTAATTAGATGGAAAATTTAACAAGTAGCACAAGTTTATTTATCAGGATCAGGTTTGTTTATATTTTATAGCAGTCATTGTGAATCTCTTGCCTCACAATACCTGATACTGTTGAAATTTCCACTGGTTGACATGTCTGATAGTTGAAAATACATGATTAATCCTGCTTTGAAGGACTCAAGAGTCATAGAAAATTGAGTATGAATCCTGGAAAGAGACCTGAAATTTTCTTTTGTATGTATCTATATAAATAATATGCTAATGTTTGTTTGTTTGAATGAAACTTTTCTCACAAATTTCTCAATCAAATGCTACAAATCTAATATCGTTAGAAAGTCCATATTGCATACTGGCTTTTCCATTCAGAATTGCCCTAACTGTTTTTTGCTTAGTCAACTTTTTTAATGCAGTGACTATGCTACACCATTGCACAATGTCATCATGCGAAGACTGGCTTTAATTTAACTTTAGTTTTTTTATTTGTAAAGTATTTCATACATATAAAATTAACCCACATGTAATTTCCTAAAAAAAATGAACATTACATTAAATACAATTCCCATGGGCTTTCTCGACTTATTTAGGTCTAAAACATGCATTTGTTTGAAACCATATGCTTATCACTTTCTGAACACATATTCAGACATTTCTGCATATTCAGCAAAGTTTGCCTTCATTACAATTTTGTAATAATTTAGCTTCGGTTCATTTCATAGATCACTATAAACATCATTTAGTTACTTTTTCTGTACTACAGGTTTTATTCTTCGTTTTTGTGAGTTTCTTTGTTTCAACTCATAAAACTGTGTCATACACTGAATTCTCATAACTGTTTCATACTCTGTACACTATTATTATTACTTATTACAGTATTGTTTACTCTATATGTAGTTTTATTAAATAAAGTTACATAAGTGTAGTTTTAATAGATAAACTTGTGTCTACGTGAGTTTGTATGCCTGACCATGTAAAATTTTTTCAAATAGACCAGGATTTATCAATCTAACACGTAATGCCTGCACGAAAGCACAGCACAAATGGTGTGTGTGTGTGAAACTGAGAGAATAAGGAAAATTCCGAGTGAAGGGGCATTAAAACAAATGTTTTGCAGGTTGCAGCTAGTAGTCAATATTTATCTTGTACGAAAGTTTACTTGGCTCTAATGTAGAAACAAAATGAACAATAATTTTATTTTTTTATCAGCTTTTACTAACAACTAATGAATATGTGTGTGTGTGTGTATATGTTTGAATAGGAACAACATACATTCTGGAAAACCTGAAACCAAGAGCTACTTACATTTTTCGATTTGCTGCAAAGAATGCAGTTGGCACAGGAATGTGGCTTGATAAAGAGCCCTGGAAAATGCCAGAAGAATCTGCCCCTGATCCACCAACAATAATTTCACCTGTAGGAAACATGAGTACATATCCAGACAAGATGGATATTCAGTGGAATATAAATCATGACAATGGAAAACCTATCAAGATTTTTCAAATACGCTACTTTAAGGTACAGGACATAGTTTCAGATACATTAGTACTATTATAATTGATTTATAATGTATTATCAAGAAAACTAAAGTGGAAAATACATCCTTTTTGTCGTGTAAACCATAGTAAGAAAAAATATCTGATTTGAGTGTTGTTCATTACAGTGGCTTTAAAAATCAGCTTCAGCTTGTCAAGATCTATGATATTTGGTCATCTTTATTGAAAAGGGAAAGATTAGTTGTTCTATTGAATTAGACCTATGAGGCTTCATCTTATGTTATAGCCAATAAAATATTTTAGGTTTTGATATTTTAGTCTCCTGATTACAAACAACATGAAAATGTTTTTTGCTTTAAATTTCTAAAGAACAAAAATGGATGTTTTTTTTAATAAACTTCAGTTATAATTTACAGTTTAGGAGAATTAAAATTTTACAAGAATCATAATATCTAAGATAGATAGGAATTCTGTACTGTCCTGCTACTCAACTCTCCAGCTAATCAGTAATGTTTAGTACCCATTCATTTGTTTGTATGGTTAACTCAAAATTGCATTGTTAAAGCAATTTTTGGGGGGCAGTTATATCAGTAACTAGACATTTTTGGAAGTGTTAAATAAAGTTATGTGTGTACTGGTATAACACTTTTCAAGTAACAGGTATCATTGATTGTGCATGAAGCAATGTATATATATTTAATAAAAAAAATTTATGGGGATTAATTTGCATTGTTAGATTAATAAATGGAATTAGGATTAGCATAAGTGTCCTAAGCTGGCTGAACCTTGTGAAATATTATTAGGATTATAGCCAAAAATAGATAACAATGAAGGTACCCAACTAATGATTCATTGCATTCTAATCATTATAAGTTTTGTTTTGCAACATTGTATACTCCTAGTTAAAAGAGTATACTAAATTTGCTACATTAATTTCTAGATTAATTTTCAATTCTGATCTATGTATGTAGCTTGCTTTGATCAGAAGTTATTAATAAATATAAATCAAGATTATGTTTATTGACACCAATATAAAACCAACCATATTCTTACTTTATAAGTTATGGTTAAGGTGCTGAAAGCTGGTGCAGCATTAGAAACCAATAAGCCTAAAATATGTGATTGAAATCCTGTTAACTGTAGACATGAGCTTTTGATTAATTCTTGCAACATAGAAAATCTGAGAAAGAAGTTAATAGTTGTAAAGGTTACAGTGGCTTTTGGTACAAATTTGTTGGTTGTTAAAAGTAGGTTTACCTAATAGACATGCATCTATAAAAGGGGGAGTTTACCTTCACATTATGACCAGAAATAAATGTTTAATGAGGAAGTTGTTTCATCTGTAATAGAATTACCATAAACAACATTTGCAGAAATGAACCTGTGTATTGCTACATTCTTATTTTTTTACTTGTGCATCAAATCCTATATGCCCATTAATGTAGTTTTGCTCAATGTAAGGCTATTTGTTCTACTTTGCATACATTTTTTTTAATGTGAGCATGATCTTTAAGTGATTTCAGTCTTCATTTTATTGGTTATCACTATGAGTTATAACAATTATTAAAGATGATATTGTTTACAGATTGTGCTGACTGTTGTTTTCATAGAAACTTGTTTAAGCTGAAGTATAAAAATCTATCTTTTACCATATTATGAAGTGATTAAAGCTTTTGTTTTGAGATGCAAATGTACACTATGCAAAAAAGTAACCAATGAATAAATTTAGATTAATCTTTTGTACACCCTATATCAGCCAATGAAAGTGCAACTGGCTCCATTGGCCAATAACATGGTTACATGTTAAAAACTGTTACATTATACAGTACGATTGAGACACTTTTGTACTTGTGGGACTAATAACGTTCTGCCACATTGCTTATTGAGCAGTTTTTATACTGAACCCTAATCACTTTCAAGAGCAGAAAAAAAAATAGTTAAAAAAATAAATTAAGAGATTTAGCTTTTCCCATTTCTAAAGAATATTCAAATACATGTTATGGTGCAAGTCAAAACTATTTGGGTACTCAGACACTTAATACAGGCATAGATCCTTGAGGAGCTTATTGTCCACAACTTACCCTAACTGCACACAGTCACCATCAATGATTCTATAAAAGTGCTATGAATTAATACTTCTTATAAGTATTTCACAATATAAAATTCACTATATATTATTTTTTTTTTAAGGTCTAATTTTTAGGTAAGAAACACAAATACACTTTTTTTTTCTAATTATTTTCCAATTTTAAATTCCAGAAAAAAATAATCACAGGGAAGTTTGATTTTTTAGTTAAATTGTATAAACCAGAATGTATTTTATAGTAATATTTTAGGCATAGAAATTTTGACTTGAAATAATTAGTGGGTTTCTTATCTCTAAGGCCAGGCAGTAGATATAAGAATAAAATGCTCGCCATTAGAGGAGAAGAGGGTAAACTGAATGCTGTTTAGGATGCTGGGTTCAGACTCTCACAGTTGTATTTTGTCCTCAGCTGTACTCGCTATAGTAAAATCATTAAACAAAATCATACATTACATTCAGTCTGTGCATGAAGAGTTATAGTAAAGTGCTGCTGAAATTGATAATTCAAATTTTTTAAAAGAAATATGATGAAGACTCGTTATTTATGTGTACCTTTCTAACCATAAGATAACCTCTCTTCCAAAATTTTTTTATATTGATGGTGAACACTTACCTACCAAATTGTTTCACAATAATTTTGATTGTAATACCAAAGCCAAGACATTGAGAAAATGACCTGATCTTTAAAAAGTAATTCAACACACATTTATATCATGAAAACTGTATTTAAACCATTCAGGCTAGAGTTTAATTAGCCTTTTTATTAGCAAGAAATACAACTTTGTTTATGAAAGAGATTCTGTGATGATAGGATGTCACCTTTAATTCCAAACATGGATGGATTTTCTGCTTGATCTTACCCTTTAAGCCGTAAGTTCTTTATTATTATAGTATTATGTACTTAACTTACTTTTATTTCCATAAATTTATTTCATTCAAGATAAAAAAACAGAGTGAAAACAAGTGGAAGCAAGAAGGTCAAGATAAAGTAATCAATCTTGACAATGACTCAAAAGAAGATAAGAAGGCCCATTTTACATTAACTGAACTGGAACCTGACACTTACTATAAAGTGGAGCTAAGAGCCAAAAATGAGATTGGTTTCAGCCAGGATGAAACAATGATTTTCCGAACAGCTACAAGTAAGAAATTTTGATTTAACTGAAGACTTACCATTTAATAATAATGTTACTGTTAAAAATGTATTTTCAAGAGCTAGTTGACTGGTATAGATGGAAGCTGCTGGTCAGCCTGACATAGATCAAATCTGTCTTTTTTTTTTCTTAAAGCTTGCAGTTTATCAGCTGTAGGCTCCCCCTATTTTATTGTCTGGAAAGCAATGCATGTCAAAGCATAATATTATGAAGGTAGCGGTGATCATCATAGTAGTTTGGGATTAATGTGTTAGAATTTAAGAAAATTTGAAACATTTTTACAGTAAAATATGTTTTGCAAAAATTGTCTATCTTATGAAATACATTGTTGGATAGAAATTGAAATTCCATGAGTGATGTTTTACTTTTAGGCTCTAAAGTGCCATGTTCAAACAGGATGTAGATTTACCAGCAGAAATTATATATATATATCACATTAAAAAAAAAATTCAGAGGTAAAGTACATTGAAAACAAACAAAACATATACATTACTTTTATAATTAGTTCTGAGTCCTAAGAGCAGCATCATACAGTTACATTATCATCTACAGTTCAGTCTACATGCATTCAGAGAAAGTAATAAATCATGATGCTATGCTATTCCTCCATGGGTGGTCGTTAGGAAATGATCATAAAATGTTTGTTTAAATGAAATTGTAGCAAAGTTAAATATAACACTGGATACACCAAGCTCATATTTCTCATGGTATTTAAGCTGCTCTCTGTGAATTTCATATACTACTGATAATTTCACCAACTCATATTTCAGTTTGATTCAATTGAAATATCTTTCACAACTTACCAGAAAACCACAGCTAAAACTGTGTTTTCTCTGACACATGGTGTGAGTTTCTCTGTTACTCTTTATCCTATCATAAAAAGTAATTTCTTGTCAAAATGGAAATATTCTCTCACTAGCTAGTATTAATGAATAGAACAGGTGCACTATATCTTCAACTAATAACTTAGACACAGTTAACTTCATATCATTGTCTTAACATCCAGATCAAGTCCTATATATTTTCATTCATATGTGACTTAATAATTGTGTTCTTTGTGTAATTATCCATTTGTGTTATTCAACACTTATAAATGACTTTATATAATGTTCATACACATGTGTAAAACACACATTTACATATGAACTTACGATATACATCTACCACTATTACACATTGTCACATAAACTAATTGCTTATAATATTATAATGGACTGCTTCTTACTCCCACACAAATTTCTTTGTTATCCTTCTCCAGTTAATTTCCATATTTATTACTGGTATTGCAGTCCAGTAATGTTCTGCTAATTATAAGCCATCACAAAATAAATAACCACTGACAGAATTCAGTTAAATTAAGATAGTGACCTCTCTGAAATGAATAAGGGAGTAGTTCAGACCTTCCTTTGGTGGTACCCTTAAATGTCAGGGAAGGAATCTGCCTAACCTTACTCACAGGGACCTGTGATAGTGTCATTTTCTCCTGTGAACTCTTGGCCAAAACTAGGCTGACATGTCATAAATTTCGGGGGTACAGTGTGGCAGGTATACTCAGGGTATCCAACACTAATGAAAGGTTGGCCCCTGTTCTAGCATAGCATAGTCAGAATGATGAGAGGTGCTTGACCACCCATTCATTGGCTCTACATAACCCCAGTTTCATTCTGGTCGATAGTGTTTCAGCAGGATACCTCCTAACCCAGATAGGATCACCACTGCTCCATGGTCTACTTACTTCATCATCTCACTAGCTGATCAGGTAGCTCTTGTTAGCAGACAATGTCCACCAATGACACCCCCCAGCCTCAGGTGGCTTCGATCAAATAAGGGGTTGGGTTACTTCAGTTGCCAAAACCTGGGAGCCCTACACAGACTGCTATTCGTACCCCAAACTATAGAGCAATCAGGATATTCCTCCTTATGAATGTATGGAAAGAACAAAATGGTTCATCATTATGAGTTTTACTAAATTGTATAGTACAATTTATTCTCATTTTCCCTTGTTGTTGAGCTTTTTTTAGGTAGGTGAAACTTCATGTAATGTTAAACACATATTAAGAAACATTTAGCAAACATACTCTCATGAAAGTTATAATACTTTGCAAACACATGAAAGTAATAACATCAGGTTTAAAGACATCAGAATTTCATCACACATGCTAGTATTTTTAAACATGTATTCATGTATAAACTATGTAATTAAAGGCCAAATGAAAAGAAAACAACAGAAGCCTTAAGTAGTTGTTCTCATTAGTTATTGTTAGAAAATAGTAAGACACTTAAAAAAAAACATAACCGTAAGAGTAATCGAGCATGCTTATAATTTCAAGAGGAATGTAGTCGGTTTTATATCAGAATGGTGGAATTTTTCATGTAATCTTCTTGTTTAATTGATAAGAAAGTACATAAATCAATATCAGCATGAATAATATTGAAGTTGAGGAAGACTAAGTTAAAAATATATTTTTTTTTTGCCTGAATTAGAAGCTGCAGTTAGTGGCACTGCTCAAGAAGGAGGAATATCTACATCTGTGATAGTGGCAATTGTTGTGGTTCTCATTGTTGTGATACTTATTGTCATTGATGTAACTTTCTACTTCTACTACCATTGGGGAGTTTTATACTTTTTGAGACATAATGTATGTGGTGAACCTTCTGAAAGCAAAGGCAAAGAAGCAGTCACTTCTGATGAAGAGAAGGGGAGGTAAGAATAGTTTATTTTGTGTTTTCCCAAAATTGTTAAAATCCATTGAACTTACAAAATAGACACAGACTAAAATAGTATAGTTCGAAAATCAGTGTATTCACAAAGGAAAATGTCATATACTACAAAATGCATGAACCAAACTGACTTTAGTATTTGTATTCTAATAAAATTTTTCTTTATTTTTATTTCTTTGAATTCAAAGTATATCATTTTTATGCTTGTTTCTTTCTACTGTTTATCAAAAAATTATTTCTTGACAGTCTCTGTCTAAGCAATGCCTATACTAAGTAGTCAGAGTACCTGACTAAATAGTATGGGCTTGTGCTCATATCTTACCTAGCCTCAGTTTTACCTCTCTCCAGGGAACTGCATTTTTGCTTAAAACATTTTCTGAGTAAATTTTTTGAAATAAAGCCAAGTAGACTGAATTCTGACACAATAATTTACCTCCTTTCACAAATATAGCTATTCTTGTTCATTGCTACCCTCTATATGCAAAAGATTTTTCACATGTCACAAGCCTTGATCTCCCACATACCCCATAATCAACATGGTTCAACTGTGTCACGCATGTAAATCATCATGCGACAACCCTCCAACAATTAGAGTGCAACAAAACCTCCTGATGCATGCGACTCCCTCCCTCTATTCGAGTTTACTGATCTATCACTTCTTGTTTGGCAGTGTTATCATCATGAATTTTTTGTTGTTGTTTTTTTGAAGTGGAAATATTTTTGTATCTTTTTTTCCCCTACTCAACTTTAACAGTTTTAAGTGATCACTTACCTTTATTGTTCTTAACATTTTTGGGGGGTTTACACTGGTGTGTATGTTTCTACTTCAAAGTGATATCATTTACTTCCAGCACAACACTTACAGCTTCAGGTGTACTCGACGGAGGAATTGTCGGCATTTATATGTTGGGGGGGGATATTTTGGGCCATTGATTCTTTATTCATGTTCCATGTCTGGCATTTTCCTATCATTTACCTGTCCAACCTGAAAAGGTTCCTCCATTAGTCGTGCATTCTCAATGCTGATTGGAGTTCTGTGATCGGTTTGTCCCGCCTCAATCACTTCTTGGTTTTTTCCTCATTTTACTATGTTGTTGTTTATCACACTCTGGTGGGCCATTTCTCCAGGACTGAGGATGCCCAAGGAAGACATTTCATATTCTTATACCCAAGTTCCTATTTTTCATCCCTTGTGATGCCATCTTAGGTTTGTTCACCATGGGGTTGAGTACCAGATTTGTGCTTTACCCTTTGCCCTTTTTTTTGGATCCTTCAGTCGTTTGTTGGGTGATCAAAGTTTTACCTGACTTCAGCATAATGGGGGCTTGTACTTGCACCACAAAGTGGTTGTCTGACTTCTGTTAGCTCAATATACTCACCTGCTTCTTACCCATGCAGCTCGGGTGGTTAGATTTTCCAGTTGAAGAAGTCTTTTTCCATAATGTACTTAACATTCATGTTTTCTGGGGCCCATCCTTCTCCTCTTAAAATGCATTTGATGGAGCTTTCAATATCATGCCGTTACTGTTAACTATCTTACTGCTAGCAAGGTTCTATCGCATTGGGAGAGTTCTCTTCTATGGAAGCACTTATTCCCTTGGGTCTGGTACATGTGAGATCTTTTCAGGGGACATTGCACAACCCATGGAATCTTGATAGTGTTCCTTTGGATTCCCCTTGTAACTTTCCAGTCCCTACACACTTTATTCCATGGAGTCCTCAAAATATTCTGGTGGTTCTAACTCCAGTCTCTAGTGGGGTACTCCTCAGTGGGATGTGTTTGCATCTTTCCTTGATTCCAAGTTACGTACCTCTTTTTTTGTCTCCAGTTGTTTATCCATTCACCCTAGCTGTCTATGCATTTAGGCAGGATTGGGACCAGTTTCTACCTTTATTTTATCATCCCATCTATCATTTTCCCCCAGGTGATTTCATTCATCTATGCCACTCTATGTTCAGTCTTTCTGATTGCTGCTTCTTGGTCAGCATATATCTGATTTTCTCAGCAGCTTCAGCTTGATCCATTCCTTTTGTTTTGGATCAATTTTTCCTAACCTACACTTTGAAGACTCATGTGGCATGTTCTTCCTTTTCATCATTTTCGTTTCCTTCCAGTCCCATCTTTATTCCAGGTCGAATTAGGGTGTCCTTCTACATTCTGTATGTGCTCTTGGTCGCTTAATTGCCTTCAAGACTTCTTTCTGTTGGTTCCCTTTCCCACAGTTTCATTCCCCGGCACCACTCCTCTGTTCATGACTTTTTCCTTCCTCCCTTACCAATTGGATTCGGCTTTTGTTTGATTGTTTCTGGTTTGTTTTTTATTCCTTGTCTTCTTCTTCCTGTAATTAATTCCTGGTGTCTTTACTCTGATCAGGCACCTTACCTTGTAACTGCATCTCATCTACATCATACATTTATCTCCCATTATCTGCTTCATGTTGCGGTTTCTTCCTTGTCGGGGTACCTTCTTCCACCTGTTGCCATTCTTTACTCTTTGATGATACTGTGACTCGGTAAATTACTTTTTTGTATATGTATATATATACACCTCTTCTTTTTCAGAAGCATGTCCCTTTTTTCTTTAAGGATCCCACTCTGTAGTGAGTGGTGCCTGTCCAGGTATACTTAAACTACTCAAATCTGCACCATCAGTCTGTGATGACTTCACAGTTATAACTTCAATGGCCACTAAGTGCACACTGTTGAGATGGGGTGTTCCACAAGATCACTCAGGTTTTTCCTCGTGAAACATCTGCTTCATTAATATACCTTTTCCAGACTGTACTAACCCATGGACTTCATGGGTAAAGCATAAGGGGATAGCTGCCCATCCCTGCCATTCCTTAGATTGAATAAATCAGGAATGGTCTGCTTTTCAAAAGAGGGTTTTTGTGGTCACCTGTTGCACTATCTTCAATGTTGATGTTCCTCTGAACTCTCTACCACATTATCTCTCCCCTTTTTCTTCTAGTGAAGTACAAGAATCCTTACCACTTTCCAATTCCAAGCCACTGGGATGGTGGACCATGGAGGTATCGTCCTGAATGTGATAGTGATTTCCAATACAAATATAATGAATCCATTCAGTTGAGAGTAGAGAAATGGTGTTCTGCTGGTGTAGATGATGATATGTTCTCCAGTCTGATGCTCCATCTCTGAACGGGACTATCCGAGGGGATGTTGTAGCTTTGGAGTGGGCTATCAAAATTGTAGTTCATCCTTCTGATTGGGATCCTTCATCCTATCATCACATGGATGTCGGTTCCCAGTGGCTGGGTTTTGGATGCAGTTGACTTGCCGTGTATGGTCCATTGCACCCTAGCCATTCTACACCTTGGGGCACATCCTTTTACACTTACCCACATTACTGTCTCCCAAGGGATTGAGATTCCTATATCATGTGTTTTGGATCCCTATCCAAACATTGTTCTTTCCCTTTTGGATGTGCTCCTATTTTTTTTTCCACCCATGTTTGCAACACCTCTTTCCACACTGGGCATAGAGTATACCTGGTACAGATGTGGTGCAGTCTCCCATGTAGGATCCTCTACTGCAAGGATTTCCACTTTTTTGGTGCTCTTTGAATACTTTCAAAGGATGCTTCTTTCTTTTCCTCTCACTGGTCCCTCCACCTGTTTAATGTGGGATTCTAGCTATATCTGTGAGTAGAGGTAAGTTACGTATGGGAAGTTATATTCCTATGCTTAAAATGTATTTCTGATAGGTACTTACCTCCTTTCACACTTCCCACCCTTCCTCCTCACTGAAAATTGGTCCTTCAATTTCTGCTAAAACTTGAAGTGATAGTTTGGTAGAATTTAATAGAGGGAGTCACATGCATCAAGAGGGTGTGTTGCACTCCTATTCATGGAGTGTTGTCCCATGATGATTTACAAGTGAGATGCAGTGAACCATGTTGATTGGGGATGTGGGAACTCAAGGCTTGTGTCATGCAAAAATATTTTTTGCATACTAGATGGCAGCACTGAACAACAATAGCTATATCTGTGAGAATAGGTAAGTACCTATTGGAAATACATTTTCAGTATAGGAAAATTATAACTTCTAAAGACTAGTTGGTATATCTTGAAATTACTACTGATCATTTCACTGCCATATAACCAGTGAAATAAAGGCTGAGAATTGCACAGTTTGATATTCCAAAGCTCAGCTAGTTAGTACCTCATGTTAACAAAGATTTTATTTTCTTATAAGCATACTGTTGGCTTTTCTTCAGCATTCCAGTACACAAGGAACAGGTTAAAACCACAGATGAAGTTGGTGATTCTTCATCCCCAACTGCTGAGTAAGGAACGTGATCTTCTCTTGATGCATGTGTGTGGTACATATGGGCATGAGAATATATGTATGATTTTCAACAGAACAGCTTACAGAAAAAAATGAACGTTTATCTTTAAGAAGTTGTGCCATATAACTTATGCTAGTGAAAATATATGATTTGTTGAAATATAAAGAATACATTTGTGTGGGAGCTCAGATATCAGATCTCTAACTCTTATGTGATATAATTAAAACATTTAAATCAGTTCTATCTCCTAGCTTAGGTTTGAAGGATTTGGGGATTTTCACAAAAAAATTTTATTACAGGTATTGTTATTCAACTGTAAAAACCACCAAACCTTTTTTTTTCTCTTTCTCATGGGAACAAATTAAAATTAAAGTTCTGTCCCTCCAATTAAAGGATATCACTATTTCAGTGTTTAACATTGCATCTGCATGTCTAACATTCTGCACTGTGCAGCTGAACAGCTCAAGTGACTTAAGTGATCTCAAGGCATTAGATAAGCATGTGATGTCTTAAAAGTTTATTGAAAGCTGATTGTGTCTTGTGAATTCTTATTATCATGTTTTGTAAATGTCCCTATTGTGCGAAAACTTAGGTTCAGTATACAAATTTCTTTCTTACTTATTTGAAAGGTTTATGATTTCTTGTGTTTTCAAAGGTGTACTTCATGACTGATAAGCTTAAGAATCCTGTATTTTAATGAGTTTCTTAATGCATTATTCAAAGTAATCTTATATTTTGCATTCCTTTATAATATGACTTGGTTGCTTTGTGTGTTGTCTTTTAAGCATAATTTTAAAGTTTATATATCTTGTTATATAACAGGAAATACATTATAGCAAAATGACAATATATAAGTACAGAAAACAAAATCGAATATAAAGAGAGACCAGAGCTGCTTTCTTAGTAGTAAAAGCGGATATTGGATCTCTTCTAAAGTTTGGTTTATTTATGGTTTTTATTTCAGTGTACTTGTTGTTGTTTTTTTTCCATTGTATTTAAGGTTTAAATGTTTTTGTTATCATTTTCTTCAGCTTGAAACATAAGTGCTCTGAAACAAATTGTGCACGTGTGCGATATATTTCATTTCTTTAATCTTTAGATTTTATTATTTCAAACTTAGGCATATGATTTTTGTTTATTTTTTGGTCACAGTACTTAAGATTTTTCATTTGTTTTGGTTGAAATACTTTAGAAGTTTTCTACT